GGCAGGCCCATGAACTTGTAGCTATGTGACTTTTCTAAGTGAACTTTCTGGTTTGGGAGTAGCTGTAGGTTTGCTGAAGAGCTTTGAAGGTGGTGCAGAGACTTCCTGTAGACCCTCCTGCAGGCTCAGTCCTCTGAATATCTCCCTCTTACATTCATACAAACTCAAAATTCCCACATTGGTACATCACTAGTCACTAAACTGTAGGCCTTATTTGGATTTTGCCGGCTTTTCCATTCCTACATCCTCTGTCCCAGGGTCCAACCCAAACCCGGGACACCGGAATGCACGCAGTCAGCATGTTTTCAGAGTCCTCTGGTCGATGACCAGGCCTATCTTTCTGGGCTTTTCATGACCCTGATATTTTTGACAAATCCCAGGCAGGTATTTTATAGAATGTCTTTTAATTTGCGCTTGTCTAATGTTTCCTCTGAGATTATGGTCATTTAGAAAGAACGCCACAGAAGTAAAGAGCCCTCCGGTCACATTGTGTCACAAGAGAAAAGGCACAGGCATGTGATAGCCATTATCACTGATGGTGTTGATTCCCATCCTCTGGTTAAAGTGCTGTCTGCTGGATTTTTCCACTGCAAAGTTATTTAGTGTTGTCCCCTCTTCAGGTCTGCTGATTACAGCAAGTCACTAAGTCCGTGGCTCACACAAACTCCACCTCGTACGTAGGAGAGTAATTTAATGGGGAATTCTGCGGTACTGAAGACCCTCCCCTGCTTCCTCAGTCATTCACTTATTTCCAGCAGCATGGCCTTTTATGCTTTGGGTTATAATCCAACTCTATGCTCTGCATTCTGTGGCTCACACAGCCCCAGCTTGGCCACTGGGGCTTTTCTGGCTCTGGGGTCCCTCTGACAGGTTCCTGTGATTTTGTGTTTGGAGCACTGCTTATTTCTCAGGCACCACCAGATACCCTGGGCTCACTTATTCCCTGGCTGCAGTCCTGGAATCAACATTCCTCCAAGGAAATAAGTACTTTCAAAATAACTCCTTCACTTATCTTGTCAGTAACTCAAGTGTATTGTACCATATTCAACTGTATTTTTTTTCTGTATTTTAGAGAAGGGTCTATAGGGTGTTCAGGGTCTCACTACTAGATCGGACTTGTAGCGATTCTCCTGTTTACAGCCTCTCAAGTGCTGGGGAAAAGTGTATTATTTTTAAAGGGTTAATTTTCTCAGTTATTATTTAAAATGTACATCAGTCCAGGTGTCGTGACATGTGCATATAATCCCAGCATTCAGGAAGCTGAGGCAAGAGGACCATGTGAGTTCAAGGCCAACCTGACTCACATGAGACACTGTCAAAACAAGCAAAAGCAAAATAAGTTGGAGTCCAGGTAGGCCCTATTTCAAACAAAAACATTTTTTTTAAAGTTCTGAGGATATAGCTCAAAGGTCTGAGGTTTTATTTCCAAAACAGGAAAAAAAAAAAAAAAAAGAAGAAGAAGAAGAAGAAGGAAGGAAGGAAGGAAGGAAGGAAGGAAGGAAGGAAGGAAAGAAAGAAGAAAGGAAAGGAAAGGAAAGGAAAGGAAAGGAAAGGAAAGGAAAGGAAAGGAAAGGAAAGGAAAGGAAAGGAAAGGAAAGGAAAAGAAAGGAGATAAGAAAAGAAAATGTACCAATATACCAAAAGCCCTGGAAGGACATGTTTCTTTCTCCACACCCCTGCAGCCACTCTGCTTAGGCTTGGGAGCTTTTGCCCAGCCTTCCTGGAGGTACCAGTTCCTGTGACCTCCCCAAGGACATTTCTGGGACCTTTCCTTCTCTAGCCTCTGCTGCCCACCCTAAGGGATGACAGGAGCTGAAGTTTCCGAGAGCTCACCCAGTCTGGCTGGGCACAGGCAGGGACTTGGAGCGCAGGCAGCCTCCAGGGAGGAAATGGGGAGAAGAACCTCTGAGAAGGAAGTGTAAGAGGCAGAGCGGGACGAGGGCTCCGGCACTGCAGCAAAGGTTTGCAAAATCCAGCTGTAAGTGGAGCAGGGGTTCCCCAGAGCAGCCCAGGGTTCTGCAGAAGAGAGTCAGCTTCTACGGAAGGAGCCACTCTCACAAGCCGGAAAAGAGCAAGACCACAGCTCACTCTGGGAGGGCAGGGAGCTGAGGGACTGACTCACTGACAGTCCTGCTGCTCTAACTCGACATGAGGCCAGGGAGCCCAGGTGGAGCCCCCAGCCAATCCTGGCCAGTCGAGGCTCTGGGCTGGCAGTGACAAGCCAGCACTTAGGGAGGACAGAGAAAGGGTGCAGGGGACAGCTGAGGAGGAAGCTACTCAGCATCTGCAGGGTCAGGGCAGGCTGCATGGTGGAGGTGGCACTGCTACCATGCCATCAAGATGAATGGGACTGGCCAGGCACTAGTCAGAGGGGACAAGGAGATGCTCCCAGCCCAGGAAAGAGCTGAAGCAGAGGCTCAGATGTGTCTGGCATTTGCTGGCACAGGGTCCATTGCCAGGCAATTACACCCTAATGTGAGGCATTATTGCTGTGGTGGATTATTAGTATCATTACAATATTAATGCCACTTAATATTTTTCCTGTCTAAAAGGTACTTCCTGCAATGAATGATACCTACCAGCCCCAAGCACTCCTCATCTGCAAGACAGATACAGAAAGAAGAGAGTACAGCACACCTTAGAGTGACAGAAAGCACAGGGGATGGTCAGCATCCTCAATCTTGAGCCGGCATGAAGGGCTAGAGGCCCAGCGTTGCCTCTCTCCACAGCTAGCCCTGGAGTTTCTGTGCTTGGGGGACACAGAGATGACCAAGCACTAAGACAGAACTGATAAGGTGGGTGCAGAGCAGCTCAGATTAACAGTCTCAGGGCCTGCTTAACGCACTCCTTCCACCCTGCAAACTGATGCAGCCTCCCCATGAGCAGACTGCAAGGGAAAGATGAACTGCGTGGGCAGGGCCGGGTGAATTCCAGCTCCACTCATTCCCGGACACTGGGCTAGCGACTCACCAGTCTAAGTGTCCATGTCCACAATTCTATGAGGGCATAAAGATATGTACAAGCATACACAATGCACACTTTTCAGTAGGAAAAAAAATAGAAACACAGGGTATGGTGCTGCACACTTGTAATCCCTGCACTGTGAGAAGCTGAGGTGGGAGGATCTTAAATTCAAGCCCAGACTGGACAACTTGGCAAGGTCCTGTTTCAAAATAAAAAAATCATTTTAAAAAAAGGACTAGGAAGTAGCTTAGTGCAAAGGTGCTGGGTTCAATTCTCAGCATGGCACAAGCATCCGCATGTTCACATGTACACACACACACACACACACACACACACACACACACAGAGGAAATATCCAACAGGTAAAAAGACATAAACAAGAGTATTTTCACAATAAGTAAATTATAGATACACAGACAATAGACGTGGGTTTCAAAAAACATGTGTGTGATAAAGGCCACACAATTATAGAATGATTCTGTTTACCTGGAGTTTTTAAAAAGGCAAAACTGAACTATCTAGCTATCCATACAAAAACTGAACTATCTAGCTATCCATACAAAAGTACTAAGAACTTGGGCGTGGAAACAACTAATACAAGTTCAGGAATGCAGTTCCTCAGGATAAGGGAAGGCACTTACGATGTACTGTTTTTTTAAATCTGATGAAAGATATACAGGTCTTTAAAAAGTTCCTATTTTCTTTTTTTAAATACTGGGGATGATACTTAGGAGCACTCTACCATGAGCTACTTCCTGCCCCCATTTAGAAGATGTCTCACTAAATGGCACACACTGGTCCCAAATTTGCTATCTTCCTGCCTCAGCCTCTCAGATACCTGGGATTACAGGCATGTGCCACCACGCCTGGCTAACTGCTATTATTCTTTAAGCTGTACATGTACCTATGGTATCTTTTATAATAAGTAATTTTTTACTGTAACACAAATAGTACCTTTACAGGACACAAGCTTTCGATAATGTAGTGATGCAGTAATTAAAGTACCAGCACACAGTAATAAGCCCTTTGAGCTTCTCGGTTCCCGGGGCCTCGGTTTCCCCACCAACGAAGTGAGCTGTGGCACTAGAGCCTTTGTCCTCTAGCTGGTGGGTGGGTTCTGAGTTCCCCATTTCCCTCTCTGCTCCCTTGTTCACACCGAAAGCCAGACGCCCCTCTGCCCTGGGTCACTAGTGATTTCCAAAATGGCAGAGGTGGCCTCTGATTCCCTGGAAATGGAATTGTGGTTCTGAGTCTTTCCAGCTGGGACAATTGGCCTTTTCTGAATTTCTCAAGGGGAAACTGCACAAGCATGTCTGTCCACCTCCTCATGCCCAACCTGGGAACCTACAAGCACCCTAGTGGAGAGGTGGGTGCTGATGAGGCGGGTAAGTTCTGCAGCCCGGCGACAGTACTCTCAAACGAGGATGGGCACCAATGCCCTGCCTTCCGGTTTCTCTCCTCTGCCACTGGGCATCTGCTGGCTGTACCTGTCTTTCTATTTTGAGAACGTTTTTATTTCAGAGAAAGAGTGCCAGGCCCTGGGTGACGGCCCCACCTCTGGGTAACCGCTTCAACCCTAGCCCGTTGGGTGTTCCAGCTCCATCTGAGAAGAGCCTGTCTCGGGCACTTGGCTTTGCGGCGCCACCTCCAATGTGGACCAACTTCTGGGTGGCTGATAGGTTCAGGGCGCAAATTACTGAGAGTCGGGTTCTCGAGTCTAAACGGTCGCAGCCGTCCGCGCTCGGTCGCGCTGTACCTGGCAGGTGCACGCACCTGGCGCCGCCCACCACCTGGCGCGGCCCGCGGGTGCTCGCTCCCGCTGCGGCGCGCGGAAGGG